GAGTCCTGCTGATGCTCTCTTCGGTATTTCTCGAGTTCAACCTCGTTAAAGAGGTCGTCCTCTTTCTTATGCTTCTTGTTCTTGTTCTTCTTTTTCTTCAGACCTTTAGTTATCTTGTGCATATTCCACTACCAGCTCATGCAGTTTTCTGCAAACACGAAACAAAAACCACGTAAGTCTAATCCATTCGCGAGCTTGTTGTTCTGTCGCCACGCCAAATCTCAGGTCACGAAATTAAACGTAAACCTCAGGGCAACGTAAATTTTGATAGTGATAGTAGCTGCGAATATGGCGCGGATAGCCGACAAGGGGTGGTAACCGAAATTGGAATTTCGGTGGAAATACAAACGCTCATGATAACAATCTATCTTGTTACGAAATGTTACGTATTGTCTCGGACTTCGTATATTTTCGCATTCTTTAAGCACCGGGAAGTAATCACGAGATTTGGAATTTTGAATGTCAGGAGTCTCTATACATCTAAAACAAAAGTAATCATCGAAATGTAAGTAAATATAGGTAAATTGAACAAAGAGCGGCAATGAGATGAGAAATGCATAAACAGATTTAATCGGAAACCTGATGGAAGGATAATATTAAACTGGATCTTAAAGAAATAAAAGTTTGAATATACAATATTAGGACAACTGTTCATAAATAAAATCGGACTTACTGTTTTATTTTGAAGGTTCTCTGTTCCTCTGACGTATAAATGTCTGAGACTAGAATCAACTGCACCGACGCTCTCTGACAAAAGTTACAGCACCTCGCCTCCACACATCTGCCATGTTTATACTTACTGGACTGGTAGGAAATTCGTTACCTTTCATTGCAAAATATGACGTTCGTCCAAATTCTTTACGCACTGAATCGCATGTAATTCTTACAAAATTCACCGAATAATTTCTAAATACAGCAAACAATTACCAGAATACGAAACAGAATTTTTAGTGTAGATTTTTAATTTTCAGAGTTTTCTGACTGATGTTGCCTAGGTAAAATTTTCAAGCACGTGTTATTAATTCAAATAATATATTTAATTAAAATTTCCAAACGCTATTCGACCTATTGTTTTAATATTTATCGCAATATATTCGGATAAATACGACATTGTGCATTGCAACAGCTGATCCATATTCAAGATTTCCTTTAGTACAGTGAAAGACTTTTTAAGGGCATATAAAGTAATTTTAATGCAAGGTAAATTGAAATTTTGTCCGTATATAATAAAGATATTCACGATCTTACACGGTGACGACAAATCTTGAATCCGCGATAGTCGTAGAATTACAGTAATAAATATTTTTATGAAGATCCTCTCAAAACCGAAGGCACTGCCTCTCTCTGATCAGTTATCACCAATTCAGAACCCGTGAACTTGCTTTACTTTGCTGTTTCACTACACGATGTGAGATTCATCCACTGACTCTCAGGTGGTATTGCATCTGGAGATGCCACGTATTAATATTCGGTATGAACATGAAGGGCATAACTCTCAAACCCCAATAGCCTACCGCCAATCGTCGCTCATAGATCAGAGGGCATGAGATTTCAGTTTCTTATGTGTGTGTGTGTGAAGATGTCTGTCCT